GTTGTTGTTGTTGTTGTTCTTATTGTTGTTCGTGGCTGCTGGGCCGTGTGGCCGCGGGCCGCGTGGCCACGTGGCCGTGTAATACTATTGTGTAACATTGACTGTGTTGTCACTGGGGTGTTGATATTCATGACTTGAGCAACTGAGAGATGTGCGGCCGCAATAACGCTCAAGCACAATTGCCAGCGCGGTTTGCATCGGTTCTTATGGTGTTTCACGTTGGTGATGTGCCGACAAGCCTAATTTTTTACAATGTTCTGTGAGCCTGTCAGTCTTATGTTTCGGAAAGTCCGAAAGCATCTGTAGTTACATTGGTTTCCTATCTTCGTGGACCTGATCCCTCTATTTGCAAAAGAAAAATCCTACGCTTTTCCGCCCGAGCACGTCAAACACTGAGAGAGGCTGATTCGTGTAGCCAAGAGCTGCCGAACAGATTCTGAAGAGCTTGTCTAGACCCCAGAGGAAACTCTCTGACCCGTAAGCTGAGGCAGAGGAACTCCATAGCCAGCAGTCGGATTTCCCTCTCCAGGACACGTGGCAGTCTTTGGGATCTTGTTATTCTCATGTTGGGGACAAAGAACCACGGCAGTCATATCATACCGAACCCTGAAGTTCAAGCAAGCCTAGTGCCGAAGGCCGAACTTCCCAAGTGAGGAGAAACCTAAGCCAAGACCAGGACCACTAGAGTGGAACTCGTGCACACCTCAAAACACACCTCCGAAAGTGGACAACGTCAAGCGAGCCGAGACGCTTTAGCAGTCGAGTAGCAGTAGCAGTAGTAGTAGTAGTAGCAGCAGCAGTAGTAGCAGTAGTAGTCGTCGTCGTCGTCGTACTAGTAGAAGGAACAGTAACCGTAGTTTTGCTTTTGGTTTTCGTAGCAATAGTTCGGGGGGGGCGGGCAGGGGATAGACAAATGAAAAGAAGTGCTGTTTTCTGGTGCTTCCTGCATCCACGGCAATCTTGCTTGTCGCTGTCCACCGCGTGATGCAAAGTCAATAAACAGGAGTCTCTTTCATCGCATCTTGACGCCATGATCCACGACTTGTGCAAGAAGGCCACATTTTTGCACAGTCGCCGTCCGAAGTGATGTCTTGGTGAATCTCCCTTAGCTGAACTGAAGAAATGAAAGGCCGTTGAATCTAGACGGCCGAGGAAACCACGGCTCGCGGCCATCACCATTCTCAGCACCTAAGTCGCCAGAAACACCCGTACAACCGAAAGAAACGCAGGCGCAATTAGCCGCCGGCATTTCGTGCCCAGCTTCCATCTGGCTGCATCCAGCGTGGGGTTCGTGCCTCGAACACGCAAACCGCTCTGCTGCATGCAAGATTGAGGCTACAGGTTGAGCCTAGCGTCTCAGTCTAGTCTGCAAACAGACTTGCCAACAGTTTGCAAATCAAAGCGCAGCTCTGCTAAGGCAAGGCTCTGTAGCGGAACTCCGGTCTGTGGAAGACCTGGTCTTCCTGGAATTCTGATAGATCGCCTGCCCGGCCACCACGTTGCAACGCTTTAGAAGTGCCCAGTCAGTGCCAACACTAAAACCGCAGCGACAGAAGAAAAGCAAGGAGGCTCCATGCACCGGAGCGAAATCCAGCTCATCTGTCGATTGCAGGCCCAGCGGCAGTGCTTCATGAACCAATCATTGTCAAACTGCACAGCAGGATTTCCGGCTGCAGCAGCCTTCAATGAGGGCTGAATGTTGAATTTCGCGGCTAGGCCTCGGACTCCTTCTCCCTGGCGGTCTTAAGGCATGCGGCTCCATTCACTGTTGCACCCCACCTTCATGATCTGATCTTCGTAGAAACTCGCCTCATGCGCGGCAATCTGCCTCGCGGCCCGAGCGAGCCTCAGGCGAGAGATCTGCTGTTCTTGTTTCGGGTTGCTGCTGTGGGAACCATTGCGTATTCTCTTTTGGCATCACGTTTATGTGTCCATTCTCTTGCCGTGCACCTCGAAGCTCCAGCTCCGAGGTGATCCTGCTTCGTCATGGACGAAGATGCAAGAAGGCTACTCAAGATGAGGAGCGCAGCTGCACCACAAAGAATAAAAAGGCCACATGGCCTTAGTCAGAGAATGAAACGAACAATTCTTCAAACTGAACACTGACATGCGAAGTTAATGGAAAGATCCATGCTCACCTGCAAACGAGGAGCCTGAGTGAAGTAATTGAAGCCATGATGTGAGTTGGCAAACTTTGAGCAGCTACTTCACGAGAATCGCAAGGGCATGCGATGGCAAGAGATGTTCGCAAGCTGTTCACATGCGGCACTGACATGGAGTCCAGCGTGAAGTTGCCAAGCAAACCGGCTCCCATTCCCACTAGATGCCTTCGGCGCTGTGGGATCCACGGATAGTGCAATGTCACACATTCGCACCTGGGCATGGCAGCTTGAGCTCCCCTGTCCAACAGAGGCGAACGCACTGCAACGCTGAAGAGACCGCATTTCCTTTCTGCCTTGGTCATTGCCACAGCATGTTCGATGGTCAGGTCGATGTTGCCCGTCTTTGTCGCGGCGCGCCTATTGTTAAAACACACCACACCAAGACTTGCAGACTCAACAGGCTTTGGCCTGGGTCACGCGTGACAGTACATAAGAGGCACAGTGATGAAACAAAGCAAGTGTCGGCACTGAGCGACTCTGTCAATTACCTGCTACATGTCTGCTACACAGCCTTTTGCTGCCAGGGCAAGTTTCCTTTTCACTTCTTCAGGCCACTCCACAGAGAGGTTGACAGACAGCGCAAGGTGCGAGGTACTGACATCTGCGTATGCAATCATTGTTGCTGCTCATCACAGCGATACCGAGACCTGGGAAAGTGCTCTTGTACCAGTCGAGGAACTTGGGCCAGAACACAGGATGAGGAGTTCCATCTCCATAGACGATGCGACGGAGGACGTAACTATTCACCCTATCCCATTCATCCTCATTGATTTTCGACATTGGGAAGGTGCCGTCGCCAAAGACCAAATCCGATGTAGCATCGATATCTGCATACGTTTTGTTCGAAAACCAGAAGTCGTGAGTTGCTTCCTTAATGCAGCAATCTATCATCAATCCTTGCGAAGCGTCCTCACACACGAGCGAAAGGAAGCCGCACACTAAAGCCGAGGTTCTGCAACTTCAGTGAACACATAAAACCTTGGCTGGCGCGGGTCCAAGAGCCACACACAGTGCTCACAGTCCAGTGAGGACTGTGCATTGACATGCATGCCGCCTTATCGCAAGAACTCTCTTAGCGTTTTTTGCAAGGGGTGGATGATACTTGTTGAAAAATGCTCGAAATGCTCCACTTTCGGATCGCAGCTACATAATTTACACACTGTTGAATCATCGGGACGAAAGAAATCTCATCGTCATCAGCTTCAGCATGAACCGAGGAGCAGCATGATGCCACGGCCAAAGAAGTTGTCAGACCAGGTCCAGTGGCCTCGAGCCAACCACTACTGGCTTCTTCAAAACATCCTAAATTCTCGAGGCGAATCCGCACATCGAAGCGTTCATTCTCAGCTGATGTGGGCACAACAGGGCTTTGGAGGAAAAACCTGATGTCACAGCCTACTTCTGATGTCATGTCGCACCGTCGCACCTGCCAAGCTGGACGGGTTGTACACAGTCGTTGGATACGGCGCCATGCCCTGTGCCCCTGCGAAGGACACGAGCTGCCTCGGCCCGCTCAGTGGCGCACTGGCACCAACGAAAAGACGAAAAGTGCTTTGTTCTTACAGCGCATGCCATGTCTAAACATCTTTTCGCTTCAGCCTTCAGAATCCTTCTCGTGGTCACACTTAGCTTGTGAATCCTAGCACCCAAACGACAACAACCTATACCTCAATCCCCAATTCACCAAAAGACCGGTAGGAATACCCACATCATGGAACCACCAGAACACCCATAAGAAGACCCCCATTGAAAAAACCCAACCTCAACTCCACACGACCACTCACCCGATAGAAAAACCGATAGTATCCACCCGAAATCCCTAACCCGCGAAAATGGAAACGGTCATCTCAAATAAAACATCAATAATAGTATTTAGGTTTAGGGATAAGGTTGTAACTACAATATACTTATAATCCGAAAGTTTTTATGGAATATAACTACATTATACTTATGCCCTATTAAAGGTAACACGGGTTTATGTAGGGAAGAAACAAGAACAATATTATTTTGTTGAATTAACTGTTATTATCGGTGTAGTACTTAGGATTGGTTAGATCGCCGTATTCTTTTTCAACGCCCTTAATGCTTTTATTAATCTGCTTAACAGCATTCTTTGGTTTTCATCTGAATATTTAATGTTGTCGTTTCCTTCGCCATTACACCGTGTTTCAATATGTTCAATTAAGTCAGAATATTGTTTAATTGACTTTCCATCTCCCTTCAATTTTACCTTCTAAAACAGAAATATTATACGTAACATCACGAACATCTTCATAATCAAAAACACCTTCATATACTTTGATTAATTTTTCTTAACTCATTAACTTTATTTTGGTAATCTATTTCATTTATTTTCATTTCATATTTCATTTTGACATACTTCACTTGCATTTTATACGTTTTTTCATACGCATAATCCATTTTCTGCTTAATATATATATATATAGTTGATATTTCTTTAAGTGTTTTTCTTCAGAAACTATTTTCTTACGACTTATCATCAGGAATTTCAATGATTATTCTGCCCTTATGTTTGCCGAATAGCATAAAATAATCGTCTAAAAACTCATCATTCGTCAGTAATTGATGGACATGATTGAAGACTTTATCAAGATCGGATTTGGGTTTTTCAGGATCGGGTTTAGGTTTCTCGGGTTCGGGCTCTGGTGTTTCCTCTTCATCAACAAATCTATTCGGAACTTGCTCGTTTAAACGTTTGCGTCTTACCTTTTTTTGTTTCTCCTATTCTTCCTTAATTTCTGATTGTAATTGTCGTTCAGTTTGCCCTGTCTTCTTAAATCTCCTTGTTGCTTTAAACAGCCCTTCATTAGCACATGTAGCTCTGAATTCGGATGCAAGGCGTAATGGAAATGGGCTTCCCAGTTTTCGTTCTTTATTCTGTGACCGCATTCTTCGCATAATTTACTCCCTTTAGCTCTCTCTTCTCTTCTCGCTTGGTTATATTCCTTCTGGTACTTTTTGTAA